TCAGTAGTAGGCCAATCGCTTGGTAATTTGCCTTTGTATTTATGAACCTTTGTATTTATGAAAAGATTAATCATTAAATTACATTAAGAAAGGCCATTTAAAAATGAGGTTTAAATGAAAATTAAATTAAATGGAAAAGTTTGTCAAGAGTTTGGGCTAGACCGCAGAGATATACCACAGTTAACATACTGCCACAGCAGGCGAAGAGCTTGTTCCTAGCAGCAGGCTGTAATCCGTTGTTTGCATCCTTAAGAGCGATCCTGTGGTGCCTTTGAAGAGTCAGATCTTTTTTGTTGATGGCATTATGTGCTGTAGATGATAACATATTAAAAGTCTTCACAATTTTACATTGAGGAGCATTATTCTGAAACTGTTTCACAGTTTGTACAATTTTTGTTTGTTTGTTTGATGAACCTGTGCCCAGCTTCAATTTGAGTTGTTTTTTCATTGATATTAACGATAAGCTAATAATGGCACATCTTGTTAGCTCAAGATGATATGTTTTCTGTTCTATTATGAATTAAATCGGAAATTATTACTGTAAATCAGTGTGTTCTGTTTTATTTACATTTTTAACTATTAATTTTAACTAAACGTTAACCAAATAAATAACTCAATAAGGTAAAACTAATCCAAACCAAAACAAATACAGTAAAATACAATAAGCCCAGTACTGTGCAAAAGATCTGAGCCACCCCTCATTTCCCCACTTGTTTGGAAAGCCAGAAATATCAGTATTGACTCTACTGAAGCGTCAAAACCTCACAAACAACTGTATGTGTCAAATATGATACTCTAGGCGTCAACGGCATTACGAGATGAAATAACAGATTCTATGTTATGGGTTGCAATGTAGAGAGTTATTGCACAAGGTATAGAAATTTTCCTGTATCTGTCCTCGTTGCAGTCAGTCAGTTAGAGAAAGTGCAGCACTAACTGTCCAGTATAGGTGCAGCGGGTGGCCAGAATTGTCCATTATGGACAGTTTGTTTGCTGACTGCCTCTGCACCATACCTGTCCAGTTTGCAGAAATAAACAGTAGCTGAAATACACATTGATTGATTTATTTTTTATTCTTTACAGTTAACAGTAAATTCTGAATTGCTTTTCTCTTTGTTTAGCAATAATTTAACTGATCTCTTTTTGGTTTGACCTTTTTAGCAGGTCAGAGCTAAAACCCTAACAGGGAGTGATTCCCTGGTTGCTCATTCCTCCTGATCTCCAACAATAAAGTCAATGTTGAACTGGTATCAGCAGGTGTACGATGGGTCAGGCAGTGAAACTCCTGCTGTCCTCCTCTCTGTCCCAACACGCACACGGGTTGACCTGTCCCCTCATAGCCTGCAGATGTCGCTGTTGAGACTACTTTCCAAAAAACAGAGAAATATTATTTAATAAATTAAATATTTAGTATTCCTCTTGTCTCTTCAAAGATAGCAGAATAGTAACTTCCTGCACCTTGTTGGACCCATCAAAGTGTTATATCATTTACTGTTTATTGGCTAAAAACGAGATATTTTGACCTAATCGCTATGCTAATATCCGCTAATATGATATGACAATATAACAGGTAAGAATGCTTTCTACTTCTTGTCAGTAATCTTGTTCTTACCAATAGCAACAGCAACAAAAAAAGAAGGAAAAAAAAGTACCTGACATCATATTTGTCTGTAGTAGTTGTATTTATGCAGGATCTTGATTGTCTTTAAAAATATATTTTCACCTATAAGAGAAAATGTTTTGTGTGACTTGCAAAACAGTCATGATAATCAGGAGTGTAGCACAACCCTGGGCTCTGGTCTTCATATGCCCTCTATTTTTATTCATATTCAGTCATGCATCTCTCTCAAACAAATAATTGAGCATGTACAACAATCTGTAATGGTCCTTAACGTAGCCAGAAGTGAACTTTTTACTGTCATGAACTGCAGGACTGACAACCCACATACAGACATATAGAGGCAGAATGTAATAATTAAAGTAAGCCTTTGTTATGGCTGGTAAAATTCCACCGGGAAAATAAACTAACACAAAACACAGATGGGAGGTGAACAGACACACAAGGGCTGAGGAGAAGACAGCGGTGTTTATGTGCGAAACTTATGAAAAGATAATCAGGGAATTGGAGCTGGAGGGTAGCAGGACACAGGTGAAAATAATCATAGACAATAAGATGGGGGCAGGAAGTCAAATTAAACACAAAACACTAAAGTTAAGCAACTATATATAAAAAACCCAAAACAGGGTTATACAGATACATGACAAAACTTAGAGGGAACTGACAGGAGGGTGAGACAGGGAACAATGAGGGGAAAATGCAAACTGGAACTAACACTTAAAAGCTCCGCATAAATAAAAATCAAGGAATAACCTTTTTAAAAAAAAAAAAAAGAATCAGTTATTTTTAGATGTTCATTCTTTGATTCTCAAAGTCCAAGAAAGTCAGGGACTGTGACATCTACAATATGCTCAGAAGTGAGAAGACTTCTCTCCACATTTGTCATCAGATTGAAGCCTACAATTACTTTACTCTCCTCATTCTCCTCATCACCCTCAGGGTAACCTCCATTATGTTCTCTCTCTCTTTTCACTTCCATCATCCTCTATCACATCTTCTTGTTACACAGACAGACCCTCTACAAGAAGGAAGCACAAAGGACTGCTATTAGTCTTGTAACCTGCTCATGGCTTCATCCCGTTTTCAATCTTTTTGGTGCTAAAACATCAGAGGTCAAACCAGGTCATGAGAACACATGTAGCCACACAGTATTTCAGTAATACAGTGTGACTCAGTGGCTAGGAATACATTTAAATAACCTAAATGGTCTCTTTGAGACCCAAGACACAGCACAGCACTATTTCATGGTGGTAGGAAGGAGATAGGAACTTAAATATAACCACTTGTTACAA